CCACCACCACCACCACCACCTATCATAACGATCCCACTTCTCCTTCAAAGATTTCCACATCTTAATCCCTGAATAAGAAAACAATCTAAATAAGACACGAGTAAACACATTTCTGATATTCTCTCATTTAAGCTGAGATCCATCTACTATCAACAACGATATCCCTTATCTCAGGGCATTTTCTGAATACAGCTTGAATTTTAGGAAGCTTCTTACCCATGTACTTGTTTCAACAATCTTTCATTAATCTTCAGCAAGATTTAACTTACATATGATGTCAGTTATAATCGGCTACCTTTGTTGGGTCACCTTTTTGAGAGATGGGAACAACTATGGATCTCATGACGAGAGAGCTGTCTTCCATTTCTTGGTAGAGACTAGAGGGCATGTCTGCGGCTGCTTCTGTTTGTCGAAGCATGTCAGTTTATATCCATCAAGTTCCTGATGTCCATTTTTTGCTAATGCTCTCAGTGCAGCTTGAACTTACTTACTCTTTAATCACCACTTGCTCTTGAGAAAAAGCTATTTCCTAAAATAGTTAATTTTGGTACAATGACTGTGTATTTCTCCCATTTAAAAAATAATTTCTGTATCATAAAATAGTTTGCTCATATAATCCTTCAATATTTCAAGTTGAATTTGTTCTTCAGTTCTTCAGCTGGAGAAATGCGGAATGTTCTTTTTTTTTATTTTCTACCTCCAGTTCTATGCACATTTCATTATAATGCTTTGTTTTGTCTTCTTGGGCTGCCTTCTGAAATCTTCTATTCAGCACTGACTTCCGTTCCTTGTGTTCAGTTCTCTTACTGAAGTATTTCTTCCCTTGCTTCCCACAAGTTTCATAACAAATCATTGATACCATTAAGAAGAATGAGAAGTTTGGAACACTTCATTGTGCTCACATACTAAGCCCAATACAGGGTGCAGTAGGGGGAAAATTTCAAATCTGTTGTTCATAGGGTTATTATGGGTCGTAGTCAACTCAGTGGGACCTAGAACATGTATGTGGACCAAGAAACAGTTGTCCTAACAGAATAAGGAAACGCTGTTGTTGTATGTCATCTAGTTGGAACCAATCCACAGCTGACCCTCCAGTGGTTTTCAGACTCAGTAAATCACACAGGAGGAGACCGCCCGTCTTTATCCAAGGGAACATTATATAGTTTAAAATCAGGAAATGCGTGGATCAGGGTTATATCCTTTCTCCATC